GCCGGTCCTGACTTACTATAATGCGAACGAAATGTCAGTAGAAAGACGGAAGAAATCAAAGTCAGATAACCGAAAGCCAAGAAACTTACCCATGTTCCCAAACGCCGCCTGCACCTGCCTTCGACGGGGCAGGTGGTCGTTGGGATGAAAGTTGAAGGGCCCCCAAATCATGAAGAACATGGGCCATTGTTCTGGTGATTAAACAGACAAGAAGCTAAGTTAAAACCCTGACGTCGAGAGGATGAAAGGACGGCTATTCTAAGCTACGACAACTCAAACGCCACGTCTTGACGCCGACCATTCATACGAAAATGGTAACGGCGAGGGCTCATAGGATTCCAGGCCCAGAACCCAGAAGCCGGAAGCACACAGACAGCAAGAAGATGATATCCAAAGCAAAAACATGAAACGAAGTAAGTCTCCCTAGTTTCTACATCCCACACATTCTTTAGCTATATACACAGAGTTCAAACAGAAAGATAGAAGGAGCCTATGTATAAAAGCAGCAGACAGATGGCGAAAAGGCTTACCGGAGAAGAAGGACTCCCGGGAAAGTCTGGAAGGAAGAGCGCCTGCGCGGTACGCCTTGAAAGGGCAAAAAGCACGGTCCGGAGGTTGGAGAGGAAGGAGTCCGTCGGAGAAGGCGGCGGTCCAACAGATGCGAAAGAAAAACTTGGAGTTTTGAAAAAAAATGGCTCTCGAGTTCGTAGAGGGTATTTAAAGGGACGGGCATCCTCAACCCTGACCGTCAGATGAAAATCTTAAAGATCTGATGGCCAGGGAAACCTGCCCAGATCTGACGGTGATGAGGTTGGGCGGGAAGTAGAGAGGTCGCGATCCAAAGGCCCATATTCGTTCTTTTGAAATAAAGACCGTACGTTATCATGAGAAATCAGTCGACGCGACGGTTGCGTTCCCCGAAGGATATCCGAAGGTCCCAGGCCATCATTGAAAACGGAGGCTCGGGACCGATTTCCCACACCCAAAGCACGGAAGGGCAACCGAACCTAAGTTCGAGGCCACCCAAAAGGCGCCCTCGACCTGGGGGTAGCTGTTGTGTGGGAAAATGTGGCGGATGCGTGGGCAAAGTATACCGCGACACGTGGCCTTGATTAATCCCCATCAAGCAAGGAACCCTTGACGCTTGCAGACTCCTCATACCCCGCTGCGAAGGCCCAAGGACGAAGTCCAAGTTAGGGCGACGATCCTTTGTGGCGTCGGCCAATTGCGCCGTCGACGCTAAAGGGTGAAGATCTCTCGACCGCAGAAAGGGCTATCGAAGAAGGCGGTTGGGCTAAGAAGTGCTGACGACGAGAGGAACGTCCTTTAGAGGACATAACGGGTTACGTGCAGAAGTGGAGGTGGTCTGCAAGCATTAATTGCAAGCTGTCAGACTGCTCCCACAGGGGACAGGAAAGTATTACGGGGAAGCACAGAGCCGTAATAGAAGACTAATTAGCTGAGTGAACAGTACTAATTAGTGGGCTACGTTTGGGCCTACCGAAGGAGAGCACTTGAGTGCTTGTAGCTGTGAAGGAAATCCCCTGGGTGAAGGAAGCCCAATATAAAAGGAGAAAGACCCCCAGCAAGGGGGAGGTTCGAAAAAACTCTAGCTGAGAACAAAAATTGTAAATTGTAACTTACCCCAAACAAAGAAATACAAGATTAAAGTGGATATAGCTCTAAAATTTATAGAGTGAACCACTATAAATTTCCTGGCGTCATTTACATATTCGATTCTTAGTAAATACACGCAAACACATATCCATCAATTCCTGATACGTAAACACACACACACGGCCGGTAATCCGAGAGAAAATCGAGAGGTAATCTGGTCAGTTTTTTGTTGGTGAAAATTGACCGTCAACGCTATGGAGTACCGTGAGGTTATTCCATGAAGGTGTTGGTGTTGAATTGGAGATCCGAACTGGACACCAATATATAGACGCTTCCAAATCATGTACCCAATGGGTTTTTTTTCTCCGGTTAGTAATAACCCAAGACAAATCGAATTAAATAGAAAAAGGGAAAAACAACCACAAACACAATAATAAAAACTTCAAGCTAATAGACGACCATCAATACTGAAAATAATAGAAACGTGTCGAGCACTGAATGAGGAAAATAACAACCTAAGCACCACCGGTTTTTTAAAATTGCGGTTATATTCACATCTATTTATTTACTCTCTACATCTCCTTTTAAATACACACTCTACATAATTTAAAAAAAAAATTAATTTATTTTTTACACACCCTATTATTCTAAGATTATCCTTAATTATTTTCATAAAATTATTAATTTTTGTCCACTTTAATTTTCTTTTCCCACCCACTATTTTATTTTAATTTGTTATATCAATATTATTATTTCTTTATTCCTCTGCATTTTTTTGTTGTTGTTGAACTTTTAGGTGTGAAGCCTTTTGTCATAAATAAAGAAAATTTACTGTAACATTATTTTTAGAAAAGTAAAGGACATAAATATGGGTATTACGGAAACATAACTATAAAATCAATTGAGGTATTGATCGAACAATACAAAGATCAGTAAAAAAATATAAATATGAAATGAAAAAAAAAAAGATAAAAGAAGAATTGGCATACAAGTAATAATAAAGAAAATTTAATGTAATTTTTTGGAATACTCATTGAAAGGTAAAAATCAGAATTTTTTTTATTATAAATTTTAAAATAACAATTGTTTATAATTTAGGGTATAACATGTAGGGTGTGTGAAGAGAGATAAAAACTATATAATTAATTTTTTTTAATGAAATTTAATTGCATAATTAAATATGTTATAATTGTTGTTTTTTGTCATTGTATGTGAGAGTCTTTTTGTCATAAAAAAAATTTAAGAGAGAGAATTGTGGAGAGTAAAAAAGGGTTTGTAGATACAACCACCCTTTTTAAAATTAGGGTATGCATGTAGATTGACTTAGCAGTCTAACTCCTAGATACTGGATGTCGCATTTCCAGACATGAACTTACATGTTTTTTATTCATCAGATAAATGAACTTTTATTTGAATATTGGGTTACTAAAGTTTTGTGAAATATTAGTAGACCTAGTACGTTATTATATGGGATAATGAGTGAGGGCTTCAATTGCTTGCTCATGATCAAGTAATTTAGGTGATTTTTGAATCAAGAATTTAGAGTCTAGACAAAGTTTAAAGAAACTGTTAGCATTTTTAAAAATGAATCTTTAATTAGATTACTTATATACATACCTTAATAAAATTCATATTTTGTTTCTGTAATAATATCTTTTCTTATAATGAACATTTAAATTCAAAAGTGTTAAATCCTAAGACCTCTTGGTCTAATAATACTAGAGTTTGAGTGAGAGATTGTGAATTTAATTCCGTGTTGTATTAAAAAAAAATCTAAAAGTTAACTATCACTATTCATAATCATGATGATAGTATACCATAATGCTGATTGAACAATTATATTTATCACTATTTACATTATTTTTTTAAAAAATAAATAAATAAAAATGGTAATTCCACTTAGTTGAAATAAATGTTATAAATAGACTATTAGTGGTCTATTTATTACTTTTTAGATATGTATTAAAATTTATCTGTTTTATATACTTTTTTAATATGATATGATTTTGACCAGATTTAATAATTAAAAATTTAGACTACAGGCAAACTGTCTTATCGGAGAAATTAATAATAAATATTACTATTATATATATATATTTTTTTTAAAAAAGATTATTGTATTCTAAATGAAAGAAATACACACACTAATACCAAATTAAAGAAAATAAACATAGTTATCGTTCATTTTACCGATTTTGAGTTTTCAATTCTAATTTTGTTATAATTAAAGTTCTTATAAAAAGTCGCATTTAATTTTTTATGTTACGGTTAAAAGCTCTCACATAAAGTACATCTCAACTCGAATTAAAAATTTAAATCGGCGAATTAAAGGAGAATATAATAAAAACAGGCAAAATACATAGAATTAAAGCCACCACCAAAAGGACTTTCTCTCATGGATGAACCAAGTTCCTACTTCCGGCTGCTGTGAACCACCATCACCTAAGCGGTCGTCTTCCACTAGCAGTCCTCTCCGTTGCAAAACTGAAATTGTACGTCGTCCCTCCCAGGCTAGAGATCGAACGACTGCTCAGGTGGAGAGTAGTACATGTCCGTTCATTTTGCTGATTCGAATTTGTAATTTGAGTTAAGATGTGATTTTATGTGAAAACTTTTTACTGTAGCAAAAAAGTTAGATGTGATTGTTTGTGAGAGCTTTTTACTGTAACAAAACTCGAATTCTAAACTCTAGTGAAGTGAACGGGCCCCATTCAAGACCATAGCAAAGAATATTGTAGAGAAGGACTATGGGAGAGAGACGCATGATGATTTTTTTATTTTCTTTTATTTTCTTTTAGTTGGCTTAAACAAATTTAACTCTTTCAAAATGTTGCCTTCTAATTTATATTCTAGCAGCATTATTTATAAAATGTAAAAAGCTTTTTATATTTATGAAGCTCATTTATTATTAGTTTTAAAATTTTTTTACTATTAAGTTTGAAAAATATTAGCAACAAAAAATATCTTATTAATGTTGCAGGACTCCAGCGTCCCATTATACAAAAATTATCTTGAAAATTTACATCAAATTTATATTAAAATATTAAAATTTAAGAGAAATTAATGAAAAACTAACTGTTCAAGTTTTTCTTTATTATTTTTTTCCCCATTTTTTATTTTGTGATTGGTTCATGATGAGTGTTCATCAGTACATACGATCACGATGGAATTGAATTGATTTTTTTTTATTGATATTTATTTATACAAATAAAAATATTTTCTCATGTTATGTTATCTAACTCAGAATTTCTCTCCCTCCACCAAGTAGTGTACACGTCAAATCCTTATACACTTTCTCTACCAGACAGGCATGGCCATGGCCTGCAAAGTTAGAGAGAGAAAGGAAGTGACTTTGATGATGTTTGAGCGTGGAACCACTGCAGTAGATCAGGAGATATCAGAAAATGCAGAGAGAGAGAGACAGACACTCCGGACTTTTCTTCCCTATAAAGCTCTCTCTCTCTCTCTCTTCCCTTTCTCTCTCCAAAGATGGACCCCATCAATTCTATTTCTACCCCAACTGTCACGTATTCTTCTACACTGTTACCCAACAACGACAACATCTTTGTAAAGCTCTTCTCTTTCACTTTCACTTTGTCCTCTCATCTTCTCCCCCTTCTTCTTCTTCTTGTTCTTCCACTTTCTACAGTCTTTAATGGCTGCCCGTAATGTATGAGAAGTAGAAATTCTGCCGAAAAACTTAGTGGGTCGGTGGTGGATAAGCATTTTTTGGGGCATCTGACTCTTTCCTCCTTTTTGGTTGTCAAAAAAAAGATACCCACTGAAAAAGAAGTCTGTTTCTGAGCAGCTAATTGTTTTTGTTTTTGTTGAATTCGTTGTACAAATTTGATCCGGGTCTTTGCAAAAAGTGTTGCGTTTTGGCCTCTTTTGTCAGGAAAAAATATATATATAAAAAAAGAAATTTGCGTCCAATAGTTTGGTGCTGAAACTTTGACATTGAAGAACTATATAAAGGCTTTTTTTTTTCCTCTCTTGGGAGTCCTTTTGTTAGAGTTTTTGTAGAGATTTATTTTGGTAACGGAGAGGGGTCATTTTCAAGGATCTATTTTGGTACAATTTGGAGAGTTAAATTTCTCAGTTTGCGTGCTTTGGCTTCTCTATGGTTGAAGCATTAGCCTTCAAAGTGGATTTTCATTCAATTAAAGGTGATTTTACTAGCCAAAAAAGAGGGAAAAACAATCATTCCTTCGAAAAAAAAATCATTCCTTGAGTTCTGGAATTATGTGTTCAGAAAATGGTGGAATTTGGATCCGATTTGTGATTGTGGAATTTGGGTTTTTGTTTTTGAAGGCAAACTTGTTTCTTCTCTCTCAAGCTTTTCATCACATTTCTGGTCCTGACCCAGTTTCTGATTTTGGAAGTTGAAAAGGTTTGGCTATCTGGGCAGCAACTTTTTGTGAAGAAATTATGTGATGAGCTGTTTCAAGGCTTTTGTTAAAGGAGGTAAAGAAGAAAAGAAGGTTTGAATTTCTGATGCCTTAACATCCAAGGAAAGGCTTGGTGCCGTGAACTTCACTCTGCTTGAAAGCTTGGGATTTTGGAATTGGAATCTCTTGACTCCTGTACTAGATTATCCTAACAGCATTGTGAGTTCAAGGCATAAGGAATTTAGCTCTATCCCAGGTACTAAAACCATTTTATTTTATTTTATTTTACTCTACTTTTCATGATCAGGGCTATTTGGGTCCATCATTATTATTATTTTTTTTCAACACCATTAGCTGTAAGTTTGCATCATTTTGTTTCCTTGGAAACACTTATATTCTACGCAGTTGCATTAGATATCATGTCAATAGAAACATGAATCAAATAAGAATCCTGATTTTATTTTAATGCTTTTGGTTTCCCTTTACAATGAGATCCACTATTGTTGATTGGAAATCCACTTTGTTTTCCTTTCTCTTTCATGTTTTTGGAAGAGGACTATATTTCTGTAAACTATTCTTTTAACTGATGTCTGTACAATTTTCTATTTCTGTTGATTGTTTCTCATGCAGCTCAGATTAGTAAGGAACACTTTTTTTTTTTTTTTTTTTTTTTTTTTTTTAAAAAAAAAAACCCAAAAAAAAATTTTTAAAAGGAACAAAACAAAATCCCAGAGGCGCGCGGTGCGGTTTGAGAAAGATCAATCAGGATGTATGTGGGGTTTGATTAGTATGTTTGACTTCCGCCATGGTCGATCTACGCGGAAGTTGATTGCTGATAGGAGGCATGGAAGCAAGCATACTCTTGGTAAGGACTCTATTCCATTCCTGGTGAACTTGTTGATTTAGATATGTAGATTTGGGATAAATAAATGACAGCTAGGCGCGAGGTTTTTGCGGTTTTCTATTCGCAACTTTCTTGTGACCTCAATGAATTCAGAAGTGATGATGTCTTCTCATATCTTATTGCTGGTGTTTTGTCTAGGACTTATTGAAGACTTCAAGTCTTTTGAATTATGATTGCAGAGTAGACTAGGAAATTCACAGTTTAATTCGTCCTAAAAACTATATTCGGAACAGTTGTTGAAATTTTTAGCTTTTCCTTATCTGCAGGTACTGGAATTTCAAAGAATAAGTTTGAAGTATTGAGTAATTTGGAAGAAAACTGTCAAGGCACCATTGTAAGTGTTCCAAGTTACGTGTATATTTCGTCTAATTTTAACATCATGCTACCGCTGAGGAATGTGGTCGAATGAGGACTTTCTTACATTAGTATTACATAGGTAACAAGAAGAACATGTCCATTATTAGTGTAAACTGACTTAACAATGTTTCAGGACGGCAACGAGATCAAAAGAGAAATTGTGACGGCTGATGCTGGTAAGCCTAGTGTCAAAAAACTCATGGAAGAAGAGATGGTCAACGAGCAGGGCTTGAAGAAAGACATGAGGGATGCTGTAGTAGAACCTAGACAATCAGAATCTGCACATGAAGGCCAGATAAAGACGGACCATAAGAAGACAAAGAAGAATCGCAAGAAAAGCCGTGATTTGGATGCCCATAATCTGAATGTTGACGAAAATTTAAAATCCGAGTGCTCTTGTAAACAGAATGCAGACCAACAATCTGTAAAAGATCTGGGTATAGATGAGATAATGGAAGAGTTCTCTCGCCGAATCCATCAGAAGAGTATTAGTTGCATGGATGGTTTGAATGGCGAAGCTATTGAATTATCGAGCCTCAAGAATTCTGATTCTGAAGAGAAACTAAAACGGGTAATTAAGGAGTTCATAGTTCAGAAGTTTACTAATGGGAAACATCTCAAAGAAGATCAGAAGATTCAACACTATAAAGAACTCATGAATGAACTAGAGCTCATAAGTTCAGATGAGGAATTGTTTCTGAAAGTCGTACAAGATCCACAATCATTATTGGTTAAACATGTTCAGAACTTGCAGGATTCTAAAGCCGAAAAGGACGAAGAATCCAAGCTGGTTGGAGGATCTGACTTCTCAGAACAGAAGCTTGTCACTGTAAGAAAATCCCAAGATGCTGTCAACCATAAGCAGCGTTCCTTTTTCAGGAGAAAGGCCAAGTCAGAAGAAAGAAACCAATTGAAGGAAAATGAGCATGCTGACAATTTGAATAGAATTGTTATTTTGAAGCCGGGGCCAATGGGTGTACAGAATTCCAAAATTGAAACTAGCCTTGGCCCGTCCAAAGAGTCTCATGATATTGTCACAAATAAAGAGGCAAGTGATAAAGTTGGATCCCATTTTTTCCTTTCTGAACTAAAAAGAAAATTGAAGCATGCTATGGGAAAGCAACATAACGAAATATCTCGAGTTAGAGTTTCAAATAGACCTACCCACAAGGGCCAAACTCAGGGAGATGGTGAAAAGGGAGTTGGGAAAGGTAGTATTGGAAGGAATTCTCCAACTAAAGATCACTTCTTTTTCGAAAGAATTGCTAAACCTTCAAGTGGTTCCAAGAAAGCGGACAAGATAAACAAAATGAGAGACTCTGAAATAAGTAAACATGAAACTGATGATCTCTCCAATGAAAGGATATCCAATATCTACATTGAGGCCAAGAAACATCTCTCCGAACTACTAAGCAATGGGGACGGCATGGGCTTATCGAACCGACAGAATCCTAAGACCTTAGGGCGGATTCTCTCTCTTCCTGACTACAGCATTTCTCCTATTGGCAGTCCTGGAAGGGACTGGGAGAAGAGCTTTGTGACTGCACAGACGAGATTTACTTCGCAAGACAAATTTCAAAATGTAAATGAGAAGAGGTCCTCTCCCAGAGGGGAAAACAAAGGGAGTCCTCTCGGTAGGGTAGTAAAAACCGTAGAGAGTCAGTCACCTATTACTGACATCAGTCCTGATCATAAAGTACAAGATCCTAACTCAAACACCGACATCTCTGAAGACAATGCTTGTGACGTTGAAGTTGAAGATGCAGTTTGTTCGACTAAAGACGGGATGAGTCGTGAAGGTACATTCTTCTCTCTTTTTTTTGTCGAATTCAGACACGAACATTTAAAAAAAAAAAATCTTTTGTTGAGTTCATTAGCCTGATAGAAACTTTCTGCAGGTGATTTAAAGCTCGGGATAGAAGACAGCATTAACTTGGATAGTCCCCATGAAAATTCTGCAAGTTATTCGGAGCCTGTGAAGGATGAGAGCATGATCTTGGATCTTCCTTGCGAAGCAAGTGTCTCTTCCACTGCAAGGGATAACCAAACTGATGGTGACGTTCCTGTCCTTTGCGAGGATGAAAGAAATTTTGTGTGCTTGAAACAGGTAATAACATCTTTTGACCGTTAAGATGTGTGAAAACAAGGATAACAAATATCATAGGATGGCAATATGCTTGATATGAAAAACCAGGGAGATAATGTACACTCAACTTCTTCACTTATCTAGAATTTGAGTGTTCCTCCAAAGAGCATGTAAAAGTGAAATTATACGTTTAATATAAAAGCTATGGATATCTCTCTACAGTGTTAACAACGGCATTCTGCTACCCCATACCTAACTTCCTCTTTTTACAATCTTATGTTCATCATAACAATCATCCATGTTCGATTTTCAGGACTCACATGAAAAAAACCAACTACAATCGTCTCCACCAGGATCCCCTTCCAGCTCTTTGACCACCAGTAAAGTTGCTGATCTAGAAATTTCTATTGATATTCCTGAGAGGCCGAGTCCTGTCTCAGTTCTTGAGCCTGTATTTGGGGAGGATGATATTAGCCCTTCAAAGACCAAATCTCAACCTGGTAAGTACTCACACCGGGCGAATTATTAGCTTCACATTATCTCTTCATTTTTCTTTCCTTTTCTCCGGATTTGCTGTGGCTCAGGGCTTGTTGGCTAATGTCAATTCATTCATTGCACTTCAGTCAATATAACAGTGCAACCACTGCGAATTAAATTTGAAGAGCCCGCTTCTCCGCTTGCAGATGAAGCACGCAGTGGAAAAAGGTCGATGGACAATAAGGATTCAATATTTGGCTATGTAAAAGCTGTGATGCAAGCTTCTGGCTTGAACTGGTATGAAGTCTGCATAAAGTTGCTTTCGTCAGACCAACTACTTGACCCATCATTGGTTGATGAGGTCGAATTCTTCTCCAACCCACTTTGTTGTGACCAGAAGCTTCTCTTTGACTGCATAAACGAAGTCCTTGTGGAGGTTTGTCAATACCATTTTGGTTGCTCCCCTTGGGTATCATTTGCAAAACCCGGTATACACCTAATCCCGGATATGAAAAGTGTAATTCTTGAGGTCTCTAAGGGCGTTTACTGGCATCTTCTCCAACTGCCTTTGCCTCACACTCTGGACCAGATTGTCAGAAAAGACATGGAAAGATCTGGAACATGGTTGGACGTTCGGTTTGACGCTGAAGCCATCGGTTTTGACATGGGTGAAACCATTCTTGAAGACTTAATGGAAGACACCATATTAAGCTACGTAAATGAAAGTTCCGAAAGTGAGCATGGTGTGCTCTCAGAGTCTAACAAAAGCGAGGGAAGTGTCAATTCGTAGAAGATGACCGATTCTTTTTGTTCATACTGAAACTGACCAACCTTGTGTTTAAGGTGGTGATAGTACAACAAATCAAATTTGTGCATCTTGAGGATGGACAACACCACATTTGATCTGTTGACAAAGCAATTCTAACTTTGTCACGTGTACAGAAAATCCAGTTTGCAAGTGACCTTTTCAGGAGCATAAAATAATATTTGTTTCTCATGATGAGAATCCTTTCAGTATCACTGTGCATTTCAATCAGTACTGAGGCAGTAATCTATGTATAGATCTTGTAGAGTTTCGAGTGTTCATTGTGTTAGTTGAGGGTGTGATTTTTCATCACGTTTGATTGATTCTTTCTTCTTTGTGTTTTCTGTTATTCCCATTGTTTTGCTGTTGTATCAGCAGAGCTTGGGATATTCTGGACTGTGAGTTGTGGATTGTTAAATAGAGAAATGTAATAAAAGAAAATAAGGAATTTTATGCCACGTTTATTTTATACTTTTGCTTTTCATGTGTTTAACTTCAATTATTACCAGTGAAACACCCAATGTTATAAATTTCAGCTGTTGAAAACAAGAAAATTTCTTTTCAATTTAAGTTAAAAACTATTGGAGTAAAGTTTTATTGTACTTTGATATTCATAACTCTACTAACTCCACACTCAGGTTCTGAGTATGAAGTCTTTCACGCTTATTAAAAATTATATATAATAATAATTTCAGGTAGGGAATAAAAAAAATACACTACCAATAGGCTAGTAGCTTATTGATTTTAGGATTTAATAACCCTGATTTTGGCGCGGGTTCTTGCCTACAAAATGGAGAAAAGGTCATTGGGCCATTGAAAAAACTACCCAAGCTTCCCTCAGAAGGCAATCTGAATATTGCTGGAGGGACCAAAACTTTTATGTCTACCAAATAATGATATACCCAGTTTCCTATCATTATTACTCTTGAAACTTTTGACTACTATAGTATTCACCAGTGTCATTTCGTTTCTTACAAAAGCTTTTTGAAAAGGCCACCAAGTCTCTTGAAATACATTGAAATTGATTTTAAGTTCCTCTCAATCTAAGCATGAATGATTCAAATGATGAAGCAAACCAAAACTAAGCATTAGTGTACTAAAAGTAAGAACCCTACATGCCCATTTTAGTACGTAAAGCGTTTTATTTATTGTCTACAATAATACAATGTTTCTAAGGTCTGAAATATGTATCACTTTCTAGAGAATTATGTGGTAAGATAACAAAATCCGTTTTAACAGTTAGAAGATTTGATAGAAAATTTTCTTTATGTAACTTATTTTTTAAAAGTTTTTTTGATAAGATTAGAAAAAAAAATAAATTATTGATGATTTTTTATTTTTCTACCGTCAACTTTTTATAAAAAAAATTATTTATTCTGTAAAATTTTTTTAATTTAATGTAATTTTAATCAGATTTAACGATAAACCGACCTATTAGATAATGTCATCTTTTTCATACCCTACCCTTACACTCAAGAATTCTCATTTTCTTCTACTTTTTGGGTTTTTTTTTTTTCATTCGGGAAATTAAATTTCGGTTAAGAAAATTAATGAAGCTAAAGAAGATAAACATTGTAGCATCTTAATGCTGAAATTTCTATTTTCCGGTGGAATATTGTTCTTTATTGGAGCTTCCATAATGCTGTAAGGACAACTTAACATTAGCACCTGCTGCAAAAGACTTCCGCTTCCCGTGACCTCTGCCATCAATATATTGCGTAATTTTAGACGCTTCATTTAACTGATTAGAGTTTATAATTTAAATTTTATTACAGTAAAAAATTTTTAAAAATAATTACATCTAATTTTTTTATTACAGTAAAAAACTCACATAAAATAACATCTCAACTCAAATTAAAAACTCAAATCAACAAACTAAACGGACCCTTAAATCCCGTTCATTTCACCAATTCGAGTTTTGTTACAGTAAAAAAACTCTCAGAAACAGTCATATCTAACTTTTTTGTTACAGTAAAAAATTTTCACATAAAATTACATCTCAATTCAAATTAACGAATTAAACAAACCCTTAATCTCTATAAGAGCCCACTCATCATATCATATCAAAGTGTTTAATTTGTCAAGAATGCCAAATCCACTACACATGTAGACAACAACAAGACGCTATTCCACTTCCTTGAGGGGGAAAAAGTTATAATTTTAAAATTAACATGAGAGAAAAAGATAGTGAGAGAGAGAGATTAGATGGAATACAGCTCAGTTGCGTCATGAGCCAATATAACCACTAACTTGCAGAGATAAGAAAGGATTTCCTTTTTTTGTTCCTCATGAATATTGACAAAAGGACACAACTTACGTTTAGTGGGACGGATAAAAAAAAAAAGAAAAGAAAGAAAAGTAAAATAATTAAGTGAAGAAAATAAAATAATTTACTTTCATGTTATTTGATAGAAGAAAAAAAAATGAAAAAAAAATGTTAAATTTAAGATATTTTATAATAATATTTTAATATAAATAAAAATATGATGAATAATGAATGCTAAAATTGTTATTTTACATTTATTTTTTTATCAAACTTTTTCTTTTCTCCTCAAAGGATTAAAAATTGATGAATCCTATAAATACGTTTAGAACTCGTTCTAAAATAATTTTATTTTTTGTATAAAAATATTTTCAATCTCAGACATAAATTATTTTTAAAAATGTGTTTGGTAATTTTATCAAAAAATTATTTTCAATATAAAAAAATCTATTAATGTCTCTCTATGTGCTTGAGAGAGAAGAAAACAGAAACAAAAAATAAAAAATGACTAAAAATCGTTTTCATTTCTGTTTTTTGTCTTTAATTGTGCCAAACGTCATTTTAAAATCGTTTTTATTTTTTCGTTCTCAAAAAATATAAAAAATAAAAACAAGAACAATTCCAAACACGACATATAGATTTTCATTTTTCTTCCTTCCTCATGTTTTCTTCACTAAACAACCTAAAATTTAATTTTCCTCTATAAAATTTTCCCTATTTTCGTTTCTCTCTTTTCCACTCTACCAAACTCACTGTTAATGTCAAGAGTCACTTCCTCCTTTTCTTTGTCTGCTGCACTGATGGCGTCACTGGATTTGCTGCTCTCTTTTTGTCAAACACTTGGGTTCTGCTTTCTAAAGCTTCAGAATCATCACTGTCATCTCCATATCCATCTTTATTAGCAGTCAGGGTGGACTCCTCAGCACTTTTGGTTCGAGCGTGCAGTTTGGCATAGAGTTTCCTTTCAAGAGGATCTTTTAATGGTCCAATCTTGGACTGGCGTGACACTTTAGCTCCTAAACCAAGCCTACAGAAACACACAAAAAAGAACCTTGTTAGAGAGCTAAGGATAATAGCAGCCATTGTTGACAATTTAAGATGGGATTTACTTACCTGGAAGGTCGAGCCTCTACTTCAGTCTGTTCATCATCTTCAGCTTTAGTCATGTTATTAACCCATTGTTCAGCCTGCATATGAGCATATTTTGCAAAAATGATACATATTTCAGCCCAAGAGGATGTGCAGTAGAGGGATGTTCGTATTATTTTTTATTTTTTATTTTTGCTAAAGGGATGTTTGTATTCATACACAAAGGAAATAGCATCAGCTAGTGGGTTTTTTTTTTTTTCCCTTCCAAATAACCAATGGGTATCCGGACCAGCTTCCGCGCACCTTGACTAATCCCCCCAGGACATGTGCACCATACCCTAGGAATATCAGTTGGTGGATTGGCAATATCAATTAGTTAGACCCCAAAACATGTACTCCTAAAGATGTTAACAGCCACATTGCTATGACAACAGTGCCTCCAATAAAATGCTTTTATAAATATGAACTAAAGCAGAATCCAAAAGGTGACACCCAAGATAGAGTTTCTAATGGCAACCAAGAACATGAATATATTTGACTATTTGACTTGACCCCAGGAAGTACCACACAAAATGGTCTATACCAGTGATATTCTTCAGGCTTGTCCATAAAGAATCAAGCATGAATATTTAACTAAAAGTGTTGCCTACATCTGTTGAAGTTGTACAGGTGTTAGAAAACGGGAATTTCTTCAAACAAAACCACTATGAGCATATTCACTTTTGCACAATCAGAAAATAGTTGACCAAGCTCCCAAAGACCAAACTACTTTATATTAACAAAGATTTTACCAGAAAGGAGTAAACAATAGATAAGAGCAATAACTCATTGGTCATGGCGATTTAGAAAAAAACAACATACCAATTTTAGTGCACTGTCCAACTTGACAATTTTAGGAGCACTTTTCTGCGGCTTCTCTATGGTGCTCATTGCAGCTTCCAACTCAATCTACAACGAATAACAAATCCATAACCAAACACAAAATCAAATACCACAGCAACTAAAAATAGCATCAAACAAGAAAATTCTGTTCTGAAATCAAAAGACCAAACTCTTCACCAATTATTTGGTAAATTATTTGGATAAATCGAACACAATGAGCAAAAAATCAATTTTCCTTTCAATAAAAACTATGAAGATTCGAAATCTACAACACTCAAAAGCAGGAATTGTTTTCTACATCAAACTACCTCATACTTGCCTACTTGGAAAAAATGCCAATGTTTTCCTATAAGAGCCTCATATGAGTTGACAAACAAATATCAGGGACCTAAACAAAAATAAAAAATTCAATCCAATCCAATCCAATCCAGTCAAATAGGCTATTCAACCTGAGATGCCCAAATAAACTAAAATCAAATCGAAGCATATTGAACAACGAGCAAATCCACGCCGCGAATCGTGAAATCAAATTCGAAGAATTGAAGAACGAACCACAGCCAGGGTCTTGAACGACTTCGGGACCGCGCATGACGGGTGACAAATGGCGAGCTTTCACGGAGCTTCAGATTGGGTTTTGAGCAGGAAGAGAAGCTAGGTTTTGAGAGGAGAAAAAAGGCTCCGACTGCGAGCGCAAACTGTGAAAGAGAGAGATTTGGAATTTGAAGAGAGAGAAACTAGAGAGAAAAAGAGCAACTGGGGAAAGAAGAAGAAGAAGAAGAAGAGAGGGGCTTTGACTCTTTTAAGCTTTGCTGTGATTACGACGACGATGGCGCGACGCCCTCTCTCTCTCTCTCTCTCTTGTTTTGCATTACTTCCTCAATTTCCTGTTATTAATTTAGAGTGAGTTTGGTTTATGTATTTAAAATTATAATTTAAAATTATTTTTATTTTATGTATAATTTTTATAAAAAAATTTATTATAAAAAATTATGAATTATAATTTAAAATTAGGGATGAATATAGAAAATAAATGTCTCATTAATTTTCATTTTCACTAGTAAAAAAAAAAGACTTTGTTCGGTAGTCCTTATGAGTAAATATAGATTGTAAGTAGGCTGATAGATCTGTATTAAAATTTATTTATTTTATATATTTTTTTAATTTAATATATTTTAATTAGATTTAATAGTTAAAATTTTAAATTATTTGTACAACAATTAGAAAAATTTTCAAAAAAATTATCATTATTGTATTAGCAATTAAAAATAAAAGAATATGTATGGTGAGACCCCGTACAAAAAGTTACCAACAGAACACCATGTTTTTACCATTAAATTAAGTTTTTAACGATCAGATCGTTAAAAACTTAATTTACAACGTGCCACATAAAATTGCTCCTTTTACGTATCTAATTACTAAAAATAAATATTTAACAGTTAAAACATAATATTTCACTGATAGCGTTTTTAGGTCTCACCGCAGAAAAGAAAAGAAAAAAAAAAAAAAAAAAAAACCTTATATATATAGAAATATATTAGCTCTATTTGACTAATTGGGGCAATGCTTTAAGGAAAAAAAGAAAAAAAAAAAAAAACAACTTTGATATGTATCTTTTTTTTTTTTTTAAGTTTGTAGGGGCAACACTGGCGTTGTTATTTTGTAATGTCATTTAGGGTATATTCATTTGTATAATTTAAGTCATGATTTGAATTGTGTATGTGAGAGAAAAATAATATAGTAAAAAAATTGAAGAATTTAAATTTTTGTGAGAAAAAATGTTGTAACAATATGATTTTCTTCTTGAAATAAACAAGACCTTAGTTTGCTAAGCCTAATCCTTCCACACAAAAAAAGAACAAAAAACTTATAGAGCGCGTTTGGTATCAGTTTCGTTTTCAATTTTTCATGTTTTTTGATAAAAAAAAAAAAAAGTAGAGATTGAGGAGGAAAACACGTTTGGAGGAAAAAATGTGAAAAAAAATGAAAACAAAAATAATTTTTAATTTAGTGTAAAATGACTTAAAAACTGAAAATGAATTTAAGTCAGTTTTGTATTTTTAGTTTTGGGTGGATACTTTTTTTTGGTAAGTAGGGAAGAAAAGTTGCATATCTATGGGATTCTATCTTCCGGCGTTTAATATGAATGTGTGCTATTCAAATTGTTTTCCTCTTTTGGCTTTTTTTATTTATTTATTTTTTTGTTATGTAATGAGGTAAGGATGCAATCGAGATAAGGAGCGATCAATTCATTAAAAAAAAAGACGGGGATAAGAAGCAAGCTATTTTAAGAAGGAAGTGAAATCCATCAAAGATATTTACTCACAAACAAAGTGGGCATCAAGATAATTGCTAATTGGGTGGTGTTATTCACACATTTTATTTTATTCTTAACACTTATTTTAAGGATAATACTCAAAATATCTTTAATATTTTGTTAAAATATCATTTTCACCTCTCTTATGTAAATACTCAAAACATCCACTGTATTTATAAAAACAAATCCATAACACCCTCTAAAACAAAATGTTAAATAAAATCAACCTTAGAAAATAAAAAACTCTTAAAATAATTAAAATATTTCTTTAATTGGAATATTTATTTGAGCATTTTTTTTAAAAATTTATTTAATTTTTTAGGTAAATCATATCTAAAATTACATTTAGTATAAATTAGAAAGGATAATCATGGCATTTTCAAAAATTTAACTCCTTCAGGGGGTGTTTTGGGTCCTTTTTTATAAAATATGGGTTTTAGGTATTTGTATAATAAGAGAAGCAAAGTGGTATTTGACAAAACAAGTGAGTAGTTTGTGTATCCCACTCCCCTTCTCCAAATTAAAAGTTCTTATTACAAAAAATCCTTAGATAAAATGACCAAAAAGATCATAGATTTAATAAGCTTGTTAAATTTTATTACAAAAAAGAAACTAATGATAGAGGTTTTTCACCTCACATGTCATATCCCTAGGGATGAGGGTTGGGTATGCTTTCCCACCTTCGCCCCCGCTTTCACTTTTGCCTCCCATACCTGTCTTCATACTCACGTATTTAGGGTTGGGGTCAGAGAATTCTCATCGGGGAAGCTTTCCCTATATGTTACCCCATTTACCTAATAAGAAAAAAATATTTTGACAAATTAAGTGTAAAATGATTAACATAACATTAAAATCTTTAAAATTTATAAATTATTAGGGTTTTTAAATACTTTAATTTTTTTAAAACTCATATTTTTTAAGTACTATTATAATATATAATATATATTTGTATTAAAAATATTTGTAAAAATATATGTATATGTATATCGGGACAAGGGTGGAGTGGGGGTACTTCCCCGTCCCCTCCTGGCTTCCAATTTAGGGAACAATATAAACTCCAATAGTCACCCCATTCCTATTTAATAACTCTCATACTCGTCTTATTTAGGGTGGGTACTAATAGATACTTGCACTCATGGGTAAAATACTCATCTCTACGTATCCTTAAATTATAAATTATTACTGTTTTGATATCTATAAGAAAATCTTAATTTTCACTTTTCAATTACTATTCCAAAAAATTGCATGGGGATATATTAAATTTCCTTGGTTATTTGTTGTTTGATATATAATGTTCTTTTGCTATTTCTTTCATATCTAGTTTATACTTTTTCTTTGCTACTCATTTTGTTTTTTTTTAAGGTTAGTCATTTTATTTTCTTTTTCTCATTTTTTATGCATAGTCTAATTGTTTTTTTTCTTTTTCCCATTGTTCCTTTGTTTTTTCCCCCCTCATTTTGCTAATTGCAACTTTTGCTCATGTTCTTTGTCATTTCTGATCATACGTCAATAGATGTTTACTAGTAAAAAGTTTGCACGTTACTGCGGAAAATACTGTAGTATTATATAAAAAGTTAGAAATTTTTATAGTATAGGATTAATTTATATATACATATATATCGAGTTAAAAGTTTCTTACAATGTATTATAGGTTTTGTTTCCTTTTTTTCTTTTGTTCTTTTTAACTACAAAATACAAATTTTTAAAAAAATTAATAATAATAATTAAGGAAGTTGAAAATCTTTAACTATATGTAGTGTAGACCAAAAGATTTAAAAGTAGTTATATTATATGGTCCTTGGGCGTTTCTGTGTGGGTCTTTTACCTTTGGATCAAAACTGAATTGATTAAAGATTGTTAAGATATGTATTAAAAATAGTAAATGTTTATTTTTATTGATAATTGATATAAATTAGTAAATATGTCTTACCTTGTGGTCAATCTTTTTGAAACTGGTATTTTTGGATCTATTGTTGTGGCAGTTGATATTTGTGGTAGTGGTATTAAAATATGGACATCTTCAAATATTTTTAAAACAATTGTAGTTATTTGTGCTCCCTTTTGTTGAAAATAAACTTGCAAGATTTTTGTTTGTCCTTTTAACTGAGCAATGATTAGTGGAATTACATATTGATCAGTAAAGCCTTCATCAATTGTTAATGTAGAGCATGATTTTTTGATCAATGATTGTACTGCTCTTCCAACCACTAAAGTAATTTCTAATTCAATTTATTTAAAAAGGTACGACTTTATTTTATTTTAGTGTATTTTTATTTTCATTCAAATTATTTATACTATTATCACTTGAGAGGCTTTGAAAATTTAGCTCAAAATGATATTGAAATAGATAAAATCGGACCACAAATCAACACGTTTCTTTTTCAATATTTTTCTTTTTAGTCTTCGTTTAGTTTTAGTCTCAAACGTGCACTACGCGCACATGATCAATTTAAAATAACGGCTCACACAGATTGTTTAAAAAAAGAAGTCAAAAAGACGACATAAAAGAAATGAAAATAATAAAGGAGGACAATCTAAAGCAAAGAGAGGAAAAATATTTTGTTGTGTTTTAAATTAATTATATTTTGTTTTGTTTATTTTTTATTTAATTTGGTGTTATTTTATTTTAATTTAGCGTATTTTAATTTAATTTTATTATTTATGATATTTTTATTTAAGTGATATAAAAAATTTGGCACAAAATGGTGGTAAAACGGACAAAATTGAACTCCAAATCAATTCAAAATAGTAAATAAATATAATAAAGAATAAAAATCTAAAAAATAAACCGAAAATGGTTTGAAACCGTCCGATTAAAAATTTTGACGGTTGTGATTCGTGCGTAAAAAGCACGTGCAAGAGAAGCGCGTTCAGCGGGGAAAAGAAGGCAGCTTCGCAGTGGTGGGCCCCGCCACTTTTTTCTTTGGCCAGCTGGGGATCGACACGTGGCAATCCTAGAACGAAAGACGCAAAAGCTCATGCTCAGGGAAAGGAAAAGAGAAGAAAAAAAGGGTAAAATTAACAATTTACACTCAAAAGACAAAGGACAGAAGCATAGTTTTAGGAATGTTACTATACAATGTACAGTAAATTATGAGTGTGTGAACAGTGCACATTTCTTTTGTTTTAGTATATATATAATGTAACTTGGTGTGTCTCTTGTCTTTTTTTTTTAATTTACTTTCTTTTTCTTATTTTGAAGTTGTTTTGTTTTCTTTCTATCAATTTTTTGCAACTCTATTCCTTGCTAATGAAATTCTCAATTTCAATATTGAACTTCAAAAAAAAAAAAAATCATGCACAAAGCTTAAAAAAAAAGATAAAGATACATGAATGATAATATAATTAAAATAAAATAGTAGGTGTAAATAGAAAAAATAAGTTAGTTAAGAATTAATTAATTTTATAAAAAATATTTAAGGGTAATTTACAAATAATAAATGTGTGTGAAAAGTAAATTTAATCATTAGAAATTATGTGGGAGGTGTAATTAGAAAGGGTTGTAAAAAATAAAAAGAGTGTATAAATAAATGTAACGTTGTTAATTTATGGACAC